AGATGCACCATGAGTCTCACAAATTCAAGGTGGAGGCGCCCAGAATGAGGAGGACAGGCCTTATCCTCGAGCTTGTGGTCTTCCTCTTCTCACACTGAGTCCAATGAGGACGAGTACCTCATTTGCTCCTCAAAAGGTGTCTTGCCTGCTTGTTCGTGGCCTCTCTGCCAGGAAACAGCAGAGAAACCTTCTGGACGGCTACAGACCAATGTACGGACTGTCTCAAGACCTACTGCCAACCGTAATTGCCAAAGACAGAATTGTACCGTCTACGCATGCAAAAATCCAAGCATCTACTCGAATTATTTTAAGGCATCCGAGCGTCTACGCATGCAAAAATCCAAGCATCTACTCGAATTATTGAAGGCATCCGAGCGTCTACGCATGACAAATATCCAACTTGTTCGTTTACGCATGCAAAAATCCAAGCATCTACTCGAATTATTTGAAGGCATCCGAGCGTCTACGCATGCAAATATCCAACTTGTTCTTCTCGGAACTCGACGTAGTCAGGATATTGTCGAGATTCAGACTTACCTCCTGCACGTGCAAGGAAAAGGTTAGGGTTAGGGTTAGGGTAAGGGTAAGGGGCATGGTTAGGGTTATTATTATTTTAAGGCATCTTGCCCCTCCTCTGGCACGGGGCGATTCTTTTCCTCCCGTTGCGCGTCGGTGACGGGAGTGTGAACCGGAGGGAGGGGAGGAGGAGTAAGGGGAAGGCTAGCAGGAAATTTGAGGTGTTGTCGTGTGGACTCCTTGGGCCGCAGAGCCGGCGACGCGCTCGCTTCCTGTTTTGCTTTCCCCCCCACGGGCGCATCCTTCCCCTGCCTCGGACCCTTGTATCTGAAGCTCTCCTTTCCGCCCTCCTTCTCGCCCACCTTCCCGCCCTCGCCCCCGCCCTCCGCCCCCTCTGCCTCCCCGCATGTCTTCCCGTTGCCCCCTCCCGTCTCGCTGTGCTCCTTTTCCCGCTCCTGTGACTGCAGTTTGGGCACCGTCGCCAAGGAGGTGAGTTGTTCCTGAGCCTTATGCAGGCGCTGGCGGAGGAGGACGGCCCTTTCACATTCAGCGGCCAGTTGCTGGTCTGTGCGGACGCGAGAGGCCTGCTTCAACAAGTGAAGCTCTTTGTTGCATGCGATAATCTCCATCTTAAGATCTTTCCGCAGAGCCTGGTACCCCAACTGCTGTTGTCCCGTCCCTATTGCTAGTTGCGTCTGCTTCTCTTTCTTTTGTGGCAGCACTGGCTGCTTCCCTCCTTTTCCGGCCTTTGCTGCTTTCCATGCTTTAGTGACAGTCCCTCCTGTTGTTGTCGTTGCTGCTGCTTGTTTTTTTGGGTTGCTCATGTTGTTGTAGCTCAAGCTGTTGCTGCGGGTGCATTTTCTTTTTTGGCTGCGGCTCATCTTTCTGCTGCTGTTCTTTTTGCTGCAGTTGTCGTTGCTGCTGCGTTTGTTTTCTGGCTGCCGTTGTTGTTGTAACGCTGTTGCTGCGCGTGGCGCATTATCTTTTCTTCCTGCGGTGGCGGCCCTTGTGACGGTTGTTCATGTGCTGCTAGCGCTCTCTCTGTTTGTGTTGGTTGCTGGGGTCGCGGCCCTCCAGTTGCAGGCAGAGGGGAGGCTGACGGCGAAGGCGGGGAGAAGAGGGGCGCGCTCACTGCCCTTAACACCTGTTGCTGCTCCGTCAACAGCCGCTCGTAACGGAGGAGCACCTTGAAGGAGATGAGAAAGGGGGGAGGTGAGGAAGGAAAGGAGGAAGGGAAGGATATCGAGGGAGGAGGGGAAAGAGGATTACGTCTTAAGGGGCAACCCACTCTCCAAGTACCTTCTGCCACTCCTCCTCTCAAAGCTCCCACTGGATTGCTTCCTCAATAGTGCGACTAGAGGAAGGCACCGCGGCTGCTGCCTGCGACCGTAACCTCTCCTCGCTCTCCATGCCCGTCCATTCCCCCTCATCCCTGCTGGACACCTCTTCCTTCATCATATCCCTTCCCTTCCCCTCGCGCCCATGCTGGCTTCGCACGCCCTTGTCCCCCTCCTTACCGCTCCCTACTTTGCCTCCACCCTCTTGTGCTGTGGAGAAACACGGGTTCCCATGGCCCCGGCCGTGAGCAATATTTTCTGACAGCGGTCGCCCTGACTTCTCCTCCTCCTCCCGCGGGGCCCGATCTTCACTTCCCGTGCTGCTGCTATCAGATCCATCGTCGCCGTCACTGTTTTCTGACGAAGAAGAGGAGGAGACCGTGGACCGTTGGCGGGAGGAGCAAATGAGGTACTCGTCCTCATTGGACTCAGTGTGAGAAGAGGAAGACCACAAGCTCGAGGATAAGGCCTCGTTGTCCTCCTCATTCTGGGCGCCTCCACCTTGAATTTGTGAGACTCATGGTGCATCT